CTAAGACGGACCTCTTTAGTAGTGGAGCTTACTAGTGCTTTAAAGGAAGAGTGGAGCACAATACCACCAGCTTCCTACTAGAAATTAGCAGATAGTCTGCTTGCTTATGAATAAGCTGAAACGTTTCTGGTATAAGTTTTGTCCCTGCTTTTCTTATTTTCCAAAATAGTATTTGAAGGTTTTCAACAGCAGTGAGAAATGTATGTCTGAAAATTAATGTTCCCGAATTATATCATACGCCAATACAACTGTATCGTATGTGATGTCAGATCTATTAGCCACTAAAAATTACCTGGCAGAGTATATAGGCCAAATAGTCGGATGGAAAATTCATACTTTTGAGTACATTATCAAGTTCTACTTGCCATTAGCCACAAACGAGGTTTAAAGTATCGAGCCAAATGGAGCCCTCTCAAATATCTGTATGACTGTCTGTACAAGGTAGGGAAAATATGTCAATATGCATTACCATGTTCACTCACACAAAGTTCAAAGATAATTTTGGTGTGCCTCCCTTCCTATTGATAATTATCATAGGTGATGGCTAGGTACTTGAAGCATCTTGAGGCACTTTTATCGACATTCCAAATGGTTCTAGGAGAGAAAATTTAATATCCTATGTATGTCATACATACATGTAAGTTGCAGCAAGGATATGCACATTAACGAGTGTATAATAGAAGCTTCATAAAGATGGTTGAAACAAATAACAAATTGTCATGTGACAAGTCAAATGAGACTCAGCGACAAATTACGACATGAAATTACGGCATAAATTGTTTATATAAACAATTTCTCTCGTTGCAAAGAGAAAAGGTACAGAAAGTTTACCTTAAATGCACTAGCTGCAGCAATGAAATGGTCAACAAGAAGGAGGGATATATGCAAATGGTCAGCTGATTAACAGGTTCTGACAAGCTCCAATTAGTTTTTAGTTTTGGTTTAGTGAATCAGCATTATTGGTCTAATTAAATGAAGAACCTACTTGTAGACTGGGCCTGAAGAGCTATTTGAGGTATCTTAATAATACCCAGAATAACATATAAAAACTCATGTTTTTCGGTTGTACAGGAGCTCTCCCAGACGTTTCCTGAAGCTGAAAACCCTGCACCAAATCTCTCCGGTGTTCCTGAGACAGACAATTTTACACCAGTACCACTCATCTCCAGTGTTCCAGTTAGTGAAGAAGATGGCCATTGCAAAGCTGTTGTTCCAGCGCCCACATGCAAACTCTCTGTAAGTTTCGATTGACAATTCCTCTAGTCTAACAACGTATAGTATATGATGTTAAATAAGCTCTCTAACTACATCTGGAATCTTACTAAACGTAATTATGTCAGTATATATTTCAAGTAATAATTTAGTGGATAATTTGCTCAACATCGTCTCGGAATTAATTAATTTGATAGTAGGTTTGCTTAATGAACAATTACAAGAGCAAAATGAAGACTTTGGTATGTTTGAAGAATTGTTTCAAGGTGATTTCGGTACTTTTGATGTTTCTGAATATGTCAGTATGTTAGATATGAATGTAGAATAAAGTATTGTATGCTGTTTGTATCCTTAGTCTCTGAGACGATTCTCTGCTTCACACGTAAATTCCTCGAGTTAGTTGCCTGTGTGCTCTCTCAGCTACACACATGACTGTATTCCTGGAATTTAAATAAATGCATTATGAATTGTGAAAAGTCGAACCAAAACAACTGGCCTTCACAGGCTCATCCTTTATAGACTTTTCGATAACTATATAATTCAATCCTCTAGTATCTGCTTTATCCTAGTGTTGCTATATCCCTAGCGCTCTTGGAAATCTATGTAATGTGTCACTCATGTCTATGTTCGACTCAGGCATCCGTCTGGGCAAATAAACATATCAGCATACTTAACCAGTACCTACTCTTTTCTGTTGTTACCTTCTCATATGTTGTTCCAGCTAGTAGCTTCATAGTTGTCTGTCCATAGTTATACACAATAATCAAAATATATATTTATCTCAGATTTATAGCAGTCCAAGTAATTTCAGCTTGATATTTGGACAGGAAACTGTCTTACATATCTTATCGCTATCACTGAGTTCGCAGGTGGTAACACATAAGATTGCATTCATAGCTTACCACAAAACCTTTTTGTTCATTTAATGGAATTGTTACTTTATCTTCTAAATTTTCTTTTGTAATCCACTATTTCTGAACTTCACTGTTACTTGGTCAGCAATGATGGCTGTAATGCCGCTCATTTAATCTATAGGTCATGCTTGCAGGTAACTCATGTATAGGTCCAACCCTAAGATCGCTCAGGTATGTGGAGTACAAAATTGCATGGATGTTAATTCAGAATTAGACTTCTTTTCTCCATTTAGCTTATTTTCATTACCCTGATCTGGCCTTGGTGGTGGTTTTCTAGAAATGCCTAAATCACAATAAATTTGAGTAATGTGTTGGCTGCTATAATATTAACTGAAACTAAATCTCATGCTCATGTGAAATTATATCTATATATGAGACTACCGTACCTTTTGACAAATGGACTTTAATGTTAAACGCCATCATATGCATGGCGGATAGAAATGACATTTAAGATGTGACTCTGGCTCTTGTATTAAAATCATATGCAAATGTAGTTAACAGCTTAGACGACAAAAATACAGAAACTGAATAATAGGTTAGAAAATCACCAAGTGTTTTATATATTCTTTATTTCTGGAAGATAACGCTTCGAGCTAGCGCTGTTCGTCAGATCATACAACTTAAGACAAAAGTGTAGATTGTTGAATGTTTAGGTTGGTTGACAGATGGTAAGCTACATATTCCCTTGTTTTGTGTTATTTAAACACTTTTAAATTCGCATGACTCGGAACTAGATTATGGTAAACTAGAGATTATGCACAGTATAATTTGATGTAGTATTCAAATGGAGTTAATACATTTTGATCCATAAGCGCTTTTTATTCTAAGCTTTAAAATCTGACTAATAGAGCTGCTCGAAACGTCATCTTCCGGAGAAAAAATGTGAATATACAAAACCTGGAGATTTTGCAATTTATTCTTTAATTTCTTGTATTCCAATCACCCAATCAATTCCAGAATTTAGTGAATTCAACAGTTCAAAAATACAAAAAAAAATGATAGAGAAAGTCCTTTAATATATTTCTTGTGGTCTGTATAACGCAGCTAAGAGTGAAATATTTGAAAAAATAACAAACATATAGTCATAATGTAATTCTTCATCACACTCTTGCTATATAATAAAGATTGCGCTTTTTCAACTTCGGCGTTAAACACGCCAGCAGAAACTTCTAAGAAATCTATATCTTATTGTTTATAGCAGCGGTTCTCAATCTGTAGTCTGCGTACATCCTTCAGAATGTCCGCTGAAAAGTTATACACTTATGGAAAGGAAGTTGAATAAAATATCCCTTTCTATATCTGAGATCTGAGACTTTACATGGAGAATATCTGAAGTGTTTGTTTGTTTGTTTTGTATTTCGCGCAAAGCTACACGAGGGCTATCTGCGCTAGCGGTCCCTAATCTAGCAGTGTAAGACTAGAGGGAAGGCAACTAGTCATCACCACCCACCGCCAACTCTTGGGCTACTCTTTTACCAACGAATAGTGGGATTGACCGTCACATTATATCGCCCCCACGGCTGATAGGGCGAGCATGTTCGGTGGAACGGAGATTCCAACTCGCGATCAGCAGATTACGACTCGAGCTCCCTAACCACCTGGCCATGCCGGGCCGTCATTAATGCATAAAGGAGCGTAACAGTTTTAGGTCAAGGTTTCATTTTGGTGTACCAGATTTGGACAGCGGTAAGTATAGGGAGTTACAACGCTAAAATCCAGGGTTCTATTCCCAGCGGTGGACATAGCAGAAAACCCAATGTGGCTCTGCTCTAAAACAAACAAACAATTTATTTTGGAAAATAAGAAAATCGTTATGTAAAAACAAATTACGAGAATTCGATGACGAGGAACCCACTTTGAGACTAATAATGGTTGGAGACGGTTTTGTCATCATCACCTTGTCGAAACGTTGTACATTTGCTGTAATGTTAAATTTATATTAAAGTTTTTCTTCATTACCCATTCAAGCCGTCTCCAACCATTATTAAATTACGAGAATGATTGCCAGTATATATGCAAAACGTTGCTAATGTAGGACGCCAATAAAATAATTCAATTACTCTCAGTAACATTATAATGAGTTTTCCAATATTACTGGGACAGTACAAGTACTTCACATTTTTTTTTATAAACTATAAATGATTAGTGATAGAAAGGTCACTATCTAACAGTTTTCTTGAACCCCCGTTGAAAATTATAGTTTCCTTCAAAACTTTGTTTGTGTTTGGTTATAGCTTAAATCAAATTGCCACTTGGCGCCAAATGACTTAGTGAAATCTAAACATTTGGCAACCAAAGGTAGCCGTTTAACAGTATTTCAGTCCACAATATTATTAAGACAAGAAGTTAAAGAAATAAAAAGAGATATCATTCACATAAATAACATGAGAAGAGAGTTATTAGAATATATAATGTGAAAAAAAAAAACAAATCTGCGCTCAGTTATTCATATGAATCTTACCGTTCTAAAGAAGGTCGAAAGTTTTCAAAATCCAAACATGTGGTGATTGTGGCAGTGTTGACAATTAAATCCCAAACGGTGATACTGAAAAGTCTTAACAAATGTAGAATGTCGACCCTTACAAAAGGTTTTATAAGAGAGAGAAACATTTAGTTTTAATCGCAGCAGAAAATAAGACGTTCTAAAAGTCTCAAAATCAACTTATTAGGCTCACTAACCATTAAGTATAAGAAAAATATTGTAATTTAGAATCTTTCTTTTTTATCCTCGAAGCAACTAACTAAACACGCAAAAATTAGGAGTAGGACAATATAGTGTACGATAATATTTCTCTATCGTGTTTTGATTTATAGATAAAACTAACATCACAAAGTTCAAACAACTGACTCTAATATTATTATTCTTGAGCTTACCTTCCAGTCAAAAGCACTGACAAAACTGAAGAAAGAGCGGCCTTCTTGGGGTAATCCTGTTATAATCACATTTGCATCAATATCCAAAGCACTGCTGAACCTTACCACTTGATGTCGTTCGTAACTTGCAGCAAATGGACCCAAACCAACATCAACTTCCTAAACCGAGAAGTCGTTCCAAATTTAATTTTCTATTGTAACTGAAATTGTCAACTACCATGAATTACCCAAAATCAAACTTTTATAACGTGTTTAGTTTGTTTCATACAAATAACTTCTATAAATTAGTTTGAAGACAGGAAATTTTCACCTATTAAAAATGTACTTGATACTAGCGAAAGTACCCGGCTTCGTTCGGATTATCAGGTTGATCTATTCTAGATGACTATGTCAGTGTGTGTATTCTGAGCCCATTTTAGCATAAAAGTTTAATCGATATATTTTTATTGCTCCTTTACGGAATGTGGCCTGTTTATAAAGATAACCTTCCCTCTGACTTGTCCTCCGATTTTAAACTTAAATAATATAAACAAATAATAAACAACAAACCTCTTTATTTAACGGAGCTTCTAAATTAGAAAACAACAAATATTTTTTTTTCATTTTGTAGCTTATACGCTTCATTTTATACTTTCAGCATATAGCATCTTAACTAGGTTATACTTCTATTGCTAAGCAACATGATATAAAAGCCATTGTTGGAACGCATTGTTACCAAAACGCACTAGCTTTTCTACATATTAGAAGTTGTTATATAATGAACCACTTTTTTTTCTATGTGATTTTCGTTAGCTTGCCTCATTAGAGATATGCGCACGCACGTGGATAAGATAACTAAAAATACCCTGGTGCACACCCTCAGGGTCCACTTAGTATGGGCGCAAAATTTCGGGTTTCTAGGTTATTTGCTCTTGGGGCTATGGTGGTCACATATTCTTTCCTATGTGGGTTTTCGCTAGCTTGCCTCGCAAAAAGATGAGTGGATAAGTAACACTACTTAGGTGCACACCCTTATGGCCACTTATCACACAGACTCACATACATGCCCTTTTATTATTACAGATGTTTTACTAGTCTACGGTCTAGTTTTACTCTTAATGAAGATAGGTCAACTTGTTGACAGCGCTAGGGTTTTTCCCTTTTTAAATGTGATTTCAACATTTTTTTACCCTAGTTGGACTTTTTTAGTATCATAAACATTATTTGATGTTTTGAGATTTTGAGTGATTAATTTTTGTTTTTAGAAATGTTTATATATGTAAAACATACAATATTATGTCTCTCATATATATTTCAGAACCATGAAAATTCAATCATTATAAGATAACTCATCCTTTGTTATTGTTCTACTTTTACTAACTATGTCAAATGCCTGTTCATGATTGAGTGTTTTATTTTAAGAGTAAAGCTACAAATGTAGTAGCCCCCAGTGGCACAGCGGTTTGTCTGCGGACTTACAACGCTAGAAACCGGCTTCGATACCCGTGGCAAGCAGAGCACGGATAGCCCATTGTGTAGCTTTGTGCATAACTACAAACAAACAAACAATGTAGTATTTGCGCTGTGTCCATCGCAGGTACCGTTCTAAGCCTGCAAGCTTACCGCTGAGCCACCAAAGGGCATTCAGACAATGACGTAAATAGATTCACAATAAAATAGACAATAAGCTGATAAAATATCAATGTTCAATAATTTAATGTCTAAAGGCATATACCAAGCTTCGTGGTTTATTAATAACGTTTGTCGTTTAAATGTTTAACAGCAGTCAGGTTTTGCCATTGAACCACATTTATGAACTTAATCAAGCAAAAGTTAAATTTTATAACAATACACACAGAGAATATTTGCAGAAAAAAATCATCCCTCTATAATATGAAAGCTAATTTGAAGACATCTTTACGTGCAAGTACATCATTTAGGCAAACATTTATCATCAAATAATTTATATTTAACCAGTTGAAACTTTGTGTATTTACCAAAAGATTCTTTTACCGAAGCAGTTTATCAGAAATAGCTCGAGAAATCTTATCAAGTGTTGATAAAACGGTGAGAAACAATCCTGTTAGCAATGCAAAGCGCTAAGGTTGTATAAATGAAACAGAAAACCAGTTACCACAAACGTGCAGCATATTAGTTAAAGTTAATGCAAGATGTAACCATCTCTACTAGCATCTGATACCCTCAGTGCCGTGTTCCATTGCTTGAGTGAAAATCGGGATCTACCCTGTTCTATAAATCGCAAAACACGTTACAAAATGAATTACGTTAAATTCCAACACAAGAAATAATATAACTTCGTCCAACGTCAAAAACACGCATTCGAAACACCGATAATATTTAAATAAACCCAAGTTTAAAATGTTTTGTAAAATAAGTGAGTCGGACTTGTTTAAAATATTTATAATCAATCAAAAACATGTAGTTTTGATGTTCTATCTCTCTTTGGTCTTAACATTTCTTGGGAGAATAAAATATTAGTTTTTTTTTGTGGTGTGTAAAATCATTACTTGAGTAAAATGAAGAACTCCCTGTTTTTCATATAACATTTTCACACCGAGAATTCAATAAAAATATCTAAGAAACATCTTGAATGATCGATAATAATTAATAATATCTCAATTTACAAATTATTTTGAACAGTAAAACTAGCTATTTATGGTTGAAAGGCATATCACATATGTTTTGTTGAAATATACACCTGGAAAAAAGTTAAGCACCCCCGTGTTTTGTTCAAGTGATTCAGATTCGACGTTCTTGTGACTGATTATAAATGACCATTCAATCTAAACGTGTTTATCAAATGAAATTATGCATTATTGGGCACAAGAAAACAAGATTATCA